CCGGCGCCCGGGGAGCCATACAGCGGCCCTTAGGCCGGCTGCCGCCGCTCAATTGAAAACTGTTATGACACAGAGAAACAATGACACAATTGGCCCATCATGCACCGGCTGCAGATGCCCACTCTGGGATGTGTGTGAAACATTCAAATGGAAAAACCCCTGGGAATACATGCCATACAACGGGCCACTCTTGCTCCTGCCACTGAGAACCAGAAAGGTCCAGAGTCAGTGGAGGAGCAGCTGCTGAACAAGGACTCGGAGAACATGAGAATGCAGACTAGGCCCGAGGAGTCAGAGGTCCTGTGGACTGGGGTCATGAGAGCCGCTCGGAAGCTGGAAACTAGGAGGACCTTGCACAATACCTGCGGAGACTCCCTGGAAGCCATTCTTCCCCTGAAAGTACAGGCTGTGGTGGAGCTCCGGAGAAGTCTGCAACAGGATTCCTTCTGCCTGTGCTGACAGTTGGGGAGAGGACATTAACTGGTTGTGGGGTCCCAATGCGATGGGAGGCTGGAGAGAAAACACTACAAAAAATGGCTTTCGCCTCAGACGGCTCACTTGATTTTTGACAACCCTTAGGATGTAACTACTTGGTAGATCCTTCTTGCATATCTCTGTCTTCCCGAAAAACCACATCGAAGATACCACCATGTATTACAGCAGTCATTGGTATTTTCCTACTAATCTATCCATAACTCTGTAATGTTTGTATTGTTGGTATCTTATTTCATAAATAGATGCATGTTTATTAAAAAAAAAAAAAAACTAAAAGAAGAGCAGCTTGCTTAGATATGGGCACTTGCCTTAGAACATGTGTTTTATAACTAAATGGATGTTCTTCTTCCTGTATGAGATTTCTAAAATGAAGAAGATACTGTATTGTAGAAGAAAATGGTACTTTTTGCATAGGATATCAGGTTTAAGTCTGACCTAACAGTAGCTTGTCTTTTTGCTTATCTACGACTCAGCTTCCAAATCAAAGCAGGGCATGGTGGCACCTGAGGTGGCACCTGACCTTACCCAGAGTTCAAGGTCAGCCTGGGCTACATGGTGGGTTCAAGGCCAGTCTGAATTACATAGCAAAATTCTGTCTCAAAAAACTAATTAAATACGAAACTCTGTCTCAAAAAACTAATTTTTAAAAAGATTTGTGATCATTCTGATGATTTTGTTAATGGTGTTATTTTTCTCCATTTTCTTAGAAGTTTTGGAATAATCACATGTAAAGGCAGATAAAAAGATCTCTAGAAACATATCAAAATGGGTCATTTGAAGTAAATTTAAATATATAAAGGTACTATTCTTATAGTTGCTTACTAGTCTCCAAACCTCAGTTCTAAATACAAGAAATTTAGATTGGGGGCTGGGGATTTAGCTCAGCGGCACACCGCTGGCCTGGCAAGCGCAAGGTCATCAGTTCGATTCCCGGAACCAGAAAAAAACAACAACAAAAAAATTTATGGATTTTTATAACAAATCATGGCTACCCATTTACCATGTGCTGAGCATTTTTAATAAATGCCACAGAAATATTACAATTAATACAGTAAATCTACAGATGTGGTACAGCTCAGTCTCTTACTGGAAACTCTCAGGGAAAGATGTATTTCTGAATTCAGAGCTGCTCAGATTTTAGAAAGATAGCAGTGCATATAATCTGTTTATAGCATTTAGGATTCCAGTAGGGAAAACGTGACCCACTTACATTGGGACATAAGAGATTATGTATAAAAGAGAAGGCAGGGCTTAAGTAAACTATGTAAGACAGTGAAATATTATGTCTGAAGTAGGAGTGGGGAGAGTGCGATGGCAAGCAGAAACACCAAAATGACATCCAGGATTTGGAGGCAGATTTATTTATTTATGTCAATGGGCACTGATTGGGATCATTCCCAAAATATCAGGCCCTGATCTCTGCTGATCTCTAAGCAAGCAGGAAGTACAGAGGCAGAATGGCTTGTGAAGTGGGGATTAGTTATACACTGTGCATCACAGTGACCAGCAGTTTCTAAGGGACAGAAGCAACCAGATCTGAAACAGAAACTATTATCTGGGCAACTAACTGGCAGCGGTGGCAGTGGGGGTTGGGGGACACACATACGTTTTCTGCTACAATAGTAATTACCAGAAAGCAAACACAAACAAAAACCGTAATATTCATGGATGGATGCAGCCATCCCACAGTGACTGGGAAGGAAGAGAACCTAGAGAATATGTACTTCAACCTTTCTTTTCTTTCTTTCTGAGACAGGATCTCACTATGTAGTTCAGGCTAGTCTTATCTTTCCTTTTTTTTTTTTTTTTTTTGGTACCAGGAATCGAACTCAGGACCTTGTGCTTGCCAGGTAGGCGCTCATGCAGGCTGGTCTTAAACTCACCATGTAGCCCTAGGCTGGCCTCGAACTTGTGGTGATCCGCCCAAACACGGGGATTACAGGCAGGTACCACCACACCCAGCCGATTCTACCATCTTCTAGGGTCTTAGAGATTCCTCTGCTGAACCTTTTGCTTCTAAAAGGCAGTGACGGAAGAAAGCAAGAATGGATGATTGGTACAAAGTTAAGACACCAGGCCTAGAAGTGATAAATATCACTGGAACCTGTATTTTATTGACCAGAACTCAGTAATGTGGTACTGCTAACTGCAAGGATGCAAAGTGGCATGGTGATGTGCCTAGAAGAACAAGGGGAAACACAAATATGCTAAAAGTATGAGCCTTTTACATAGCTGGTTAGACCCCCAAGGGAAACTGAGACAGCATCTCATAATCAACTGCATTAGTATTTCTCCAGTGGAAAAAGTATTTCTCCAGTGAAATATCCACTGAAAGTATTTCTCCAGTGAAATATTAACTGTTTCCAGTGAAACAATATCTACACTAAATGCAACGAATAAACATTGTAAGAATAAAAAGTGAAAAACCTCACACTATATAATCTCTAAGAGGGAGAAAGCGTAAAGAAAGCATGGTACCAGACTCTCATACTCAAGTATAAATCAAGTATAAAAGAAAGCATGGTACCAGATTCTCAATCCAAGTATAAAATGTTCCAAATAAATTTCAGTGCCAAACTTATTTAGACACAACTTTAGTTTTTCAGAGGATTTTCAATTTCAGAAGTGCAGATAATGGATTATGAATGTGCATGTGATCCACAAAAATAGGAACCAGAAAATAGAGCTGGGATTTTAGATGTAGGCTTATGACTTGCAAATTTATGTTTATGATGCAGAGAAAAGTGCAAATGACCAAATGTCTCTTATGTTAGGCATCATTAATGATATCAGCCCTCAGACATGAAGAAATTGGAGATTTTTCAATGAATTTCAATGTATTGTGTCATATGCTTTATAAGTACTCACTATGCTAGAAACAGAAGGAATACAAAGAGTAAGAGGTAGGGCCTGATGGCCAGAATGCCAGAATACAGTGAAACGAAGACTTAAGAAAGCCCAAGGATGACTGATTCTGAAATTCAGAATTAGGGAAGGCTCCCCCATGAGATGCTGACATCAGAGTCACACCTTGATGGAAGGACAGAATTTTGAACAAGGAAAGAAAGTACTTAGGGCAGAAGAGGGTTGTATGAGGTACAATGTGGTATCTTTATAAAGGCCTGGACAATGCTAAGTGATTTTTGTTTGGCAGCATAGGAATACTGGGAACTTGAGAATTTTAAAGTTTACTTAATCATCATCAAGACCTAGGGAAATTAAGATCAGTAAGAAAGAGAAGATAATGAAAAATACAAGATTGGAGAGCCATTTGTGTGATGATGTAACTAAGATATTATGAGAATACATCTGGATCCAAGAATAGGAATAGGAAAATAATTTTAAATAAGGCGAGTTATTTGAGGCACAATGAAGAGTTGTGTAAGTCCAGTAAGTGAAAGGTCAGAATCAGAAAATCAAAATGAGTCATAGCTCCAGGCTAAAATATTACTATCAACTATCTAATCTCTAAGAGGGAGAAAGAGTAAAGCAAGCATGGTACCAGCCTCTCATACTTTAGCTCAGAACTCTCATTTGTAGTATTTCTCAGTGTTGAGGCTTTTTTATTTGTTAGGTCTGGCCACACTTCTCCGGCTAAGTGAGCTTACTGTATGTGTTATATAAATTAAGATTTAGCACGCACTTATTCATTTGTTCAGAAAAAGGAATCTATATAGCCAAGTAAAACAAGTGAGGAACATGTACTGACTTGTACTTTTGTCATTTATGTATCAGTTTCCTTGTATGCTAACACCATTGTTCACGGCCCTGCAACACTTAGAAAGTGCTGGCCAATGTTTTGAAAACAGCACAAATAAAACTTAACTTCCTTGTGTGCTGGGTATCAAGGAAAGGGACTGACCAAAACATAAAATTCCTTTAAAGAATTTACTTAATATCTTTAACTAGGTGGTTTATTAAAGAATAAAACAATACCAACACAAACATCTTTGAAAACAGCATGAAATTATCACTTTTATATGTAGTTCTTAAGTTTCATATAAACAGTTTACTTCTTTTCTGAAACACTACTTTATTTACCAAAGAGTAAATGCCTAGAATATAATATTTTAAACATTTCTAAAACTTCAAAATATCCATGGCTACAAAAAAAAAAAAAAAAATCAAAATATCCATGGCTAGAAACTACCCTCTAAACATAACTCAGATGCTTTTTTAGGGAAAAAGAAATAGGTGCCTATTTTTAACATATTTACTTGATTTTCAGTCATGATAATCACACCTGACAAAGAAGTGTATTTTATCCAAGCAGAGTTAGCCCTGTGAAAAAATTCACTATATATAATCTGTAGATAAGAGGAGTAACAAAATGCTACTTACTGAGTTTTTAAAATTAGTGAGTAGATTTTATAAAGACTTTATCTGAATTCCTTAATCTCTGCCAAAGTTCAGTTTACACCAGTAGTCTGGAAAATATTCAGTTGGTTAATTCCAAAGAGCAAATGGCAGGTCAAGTTTAAAACACGTGACTTACTACTCACTAAGTATATTTAAATACCACACAGTGAGTGAAAATCAGATTCCTTCTCAGAATCTGATTCTCTACAACTCTAGAGAAAGGCTGAATTCTCACTCTTCAAAACCAAAAGGTAATAATACTGTGAAATTTTCTCAATAACATACTGGAGCCAAATGTAACTCCTAGTATACACTAGATTTCTAAATTTAAACTTTCAGCTTTTAAGTAAAAAAATTATATTTAATCATATCAAGCATGTACTAGTTGAATTATCTCAGATGTGGCAAGCCATTAGAGCTGACTATAGACTAAAAGAAAACTAGGCTTATTTTTAAAGTACTTTACTATACTAATAAACTGTCTTTACGGTCCATATCTACAAAAGGACATCTGATCAAACTCAGACTCAAGCTCTAGTTCTGTCTAGTTTGGATATGTACCCTCATGCGAAGTATAAACCTTGGTATGTGCTTGGTTATATAATAAAGGGGTTGATTTTGATCAATTTCAAATTTCTTTCTATTTTAGAAACTATGACATTCTATAAAAATTGTTTTAAAGAGGGAAAATGAGGGAAACTCCAGCAGTAGGAAAATCATTTAGTTTAACCTCTTTTAATTTTTGGTATAAACAATTAGAAGTAATAATTTGTGATCTAAGATTAACTTTTAAATTGTTGGAATAAAAGTCATGAAAAAGTTAATGTCAGTATTTGCTTTATTACTCATTTTGTTACTCTGCTCTCCAACACTGCCTGTCATTATTTGTCCCTGTCCTATTCTGTATACTGATCTCAAGCCCTATACTTATTGGATATTAATTTTTTTCCCTTTACTGAAACAGAAGAAACCAAATTAAGCTCTGTTTTAGTCTTTAAATTGTTGATGCCTTAAGTAGGTGACCCAAGATAGAAAATACATCTTATATTTAGCAGACATCGAGAAGCTTTTTATTAGCCCACTGACAACAATGAAAAGACATTTACATAACATGAATGTTCTAAATAAACATAATTAAGGATATATGCTTGCCTATTTGTGATCCAAATGTTAAGATTAAATTTATACAATTGTTTTAAAGCAGATGAAAATGATGTTCAAGCTACCATTCATCATCAGTCTGCTCCTCATTTCTGTTAATGTTTTGGGAACAATTTCAACAACAATGACCTCAGAGTCTCCAGCAGTCTCCAGTACCGGGATCAACCCAAATTCCAGGATAAGCCTAAATCCTGGGACCAAGGCAAGTTCTACCTTCAAATCTCAAAGGCTAAATCTTACAACATCAGTGAGTGCCAGGACAACTCTGACTTTCGTGATGACTCCAAGTCCCAAAACAACTCTGAAATCAACAGTGACCTCAGAAACAGCCAAATCTACGATTACGAAGACTGTGACAAATGGTAGCACAATACTCAATCCAAAGCTTAGCATTCACTTTCTTTTCTATGTCATATTTTTGTTGCTTTGTATGTGTTCAGGCTGAAACAAACTTGAACTGTCTGCATTTTTATCTCAGCTCTATTATCTGCTGAATAACAAGCACACTAGAGGAGTAAATAATTTACTACTTGAATTATCAATATTCTAGTATAACTTAGTTGCTTGCAAATTTTAAGTGTGTAAGTTTAAATACTACCTTAAAATGGTAGTATATCTTCCCTTAAAAAAGAAAGTGTGTACTACCCTATTAAATGTCAAACTAAGCAAAATACCACATTTGCCTTTTAAGGGTTTACAAACCTGAAACTCAGAAGTTTATATTAAAAGTATAAGAGAAAAAATTACATAGGTATCATTTAACCAAAGGGGTGAGGTAAAGGAGGGGAATAAAGAAAGGTGTGGAAAAAAAAAAAAAAAAAAGAAAGGTGTAGGGGAAGTTGATGTTTTCGTTATAGCAAAGAAAGTGCTAGTATGGTAAAGAGAAACAGTAGATCTTTGCAAAACAACACACTCATCTGCATTGCCGTATTTCATGAATGTGCATGTACATGACATTCCAGTAAAAAAGGAGCCAATGCTGTTAAACTTTGTAATTCATATTGTTACTCCCAATGATAAGATTATTTTATTTTGAGTAAACCCTGTCTTATATTTCATTTGTAAATCAGATCCTTGGAATTCAGAACTCATTTTCCCTGCAGAAATGGCACATCTCATAACTGCTGGTGAGATTTTCATGCTTATCTACAAAGGTCAATTTCACCCAAAAAACTTAGTACCTAAGAGACTATGTTATTAATAGTGCAGTTATTAGGGGCTTTAGCTTGGGTTTAGATCCAGTTTTGACACTCCCACCTCCTAGTTCTGATTCTTCCTTTGTTTTGTTTTTAAGAGGCTCTTGTTATGTAATTTACACTGGCCTTCAACTATGTAGATCAGACTGGCCTCAAACTCACCGTGATCCTCCTGTCTAAGCCTTCCAAGTGTGCCACCAGTTCTCATTTTCATTAGTTATGCTACCAAGGGTTAAGTACATGACTCAGCAGAATTCCCAACCATTAGGAGAGGTCTTGCTATGCAGTACAAGCTGGTCTTGAGCTCATTTTGCAGCCCAGGCTGGTCTGGAACTTGCAGAAATCCTCCTGCCTCAGCTTCCTGAGTGCTGGGATTACAAGCATGCGCCACCACGCCTGGCTCAATTACTGTTAATGATACTACCTAAGAAGGTTTTTGTGAGGATTACATGAGAATTTATATAATATGCACAGTTTTCCAGACATAGAGAAAGCACCCAGGACATGTCAGCTATTACCATTATTTTGTTTCTGTCTTTTTCTTCTTTTGAGACAAGGTCTCACTATGCAGTTCAGGCTGGCCTTGAGCTCACTTTGTAGCCTAGGTCGGTCTCGAACTTGCAACTATCCGCTTGCCTCAGCCTCAGTCTCCCGAGTGCTGGGATTACAGGTGTGCGCCACCATGCCCAGCTTGCTGTTATCATTATTAATACTACCAAAAACTAATTTTTTTTCCAAATATTCCAAAGATAAAAACTCTCCACTATAACCTTCAGATTTTGAATTTTTAATTATTCTTACAAAAATAATGTGTCCTACTGGCAAGAATTTAAACATAGAGACATGTAACAGAAATATAATTGATTGCCTACCTCCTCCTTCTAGTGCATACTTACCTCCCTGAGATAAGCAATGTGAGCTCCCTCTCTCCCTCTCTCTCTTTGAAAAGGTGCATGGAGAGAACGTCTGCCATTCTTGCCTGGCCAGCATCCATTTTTCCTCCTTTTTGTAGTGGCAACCCAATTCTCCTTTGGGAAACCCTGCCCTCATACTTGCCTTTCTGTTCACACAATTCAGGTATGGCTGGTTTCACTACCAAGTTCCAGGGTGGGCACACAATCCAGGCCGACATACCCAAGAAATTTTACTTGCACCCTTCCCCATGCTACAGTGGTTGCCTCAAAAACTGACATGTGACTCAGCTAGGCCAGTAAGACCAACCAACCATTTCTTCTAAAACTACTGGGACGAGGTGTTTTTCATAGGAGTTGTTAAGCTAGAAGAGCACAAACCACTGTTGCTGCAGCCTAGGGACATCTTGAGAATAAAGCCACATGAAGTAAGCAGAGCCAAGAACCAGAGAAGACATGTTCTCCAGGTGATACTGTTCAATGCAGCTGCATCTAGTCATGCAGTAAGTTAGCAGATCTCTTGATCTTCTTAGGTATACATACCAATGAAGTCCCTTTCAGTTTTACACCATTTTATATTTCATTCTGTCACTTATAACAAGCAAAATAAATTTAATACACTCCATAATATAGTTTTATCAATTATTTAATAATTCTCCTTTGAAACAGTTATACTGTTTTCTTTTTTTTTGCCACTATAATTGATACTACCATAACTGTCCTTTACTACTACAGGGCAACAGTATAATTTCCTATTAAGCATATGGCAGAGAATAGTTTAGAAAAGTAAATTAGACCACTTATGAAGCACCTTGCATATATAACTACAGAACTTAGACTTTATATGAGGAATCAATAGGAAAGACAAAATTAGATTAGTACTGGAAAATGATTCCAGAAATAATGTTAAGATGACCCAGAAGTAGTCATCTGGAGATTAGGAAGACAAGAAGAATAGAATAGTATCAGTATGAGATACTGAGAATCCTAGCAAAGCAGTGGGGAGAAAATGGTTTCCAGAAGTATTTCCACACATTGTTGGTGGGAGTGTAAATTGATACAACCACTATGAAAATCAGTATGGAGACTCCTAAAAAATTTCAACTAGAAATTCCATTTGACCCAGACAGTCCCCTTCTTCCCCAAAGAGTTAAAGACATTATACAGTGATACAGGGATACCATGTTTATAGCAGCACAACTCATAATTAGATCTTGGAATCAGTCTACATGTCCACCAATAGATGAACTGATAAAGAAAAGGTGGCTTTTATATACAGTGGAACACTCTCTACCATAAAGAAGGATAAACTTGAGTCATTTGTAGGAAAATGGGTGCACCCTGAGGTCCTGTTAAGTGAAGTCAACGAGACACATTAGCTTAAATATTGCATGGTTGCTCATAACATTGTTTCTCTGATGTAAGAAACTCAACATATAAATACAGTACAAAATAAAGGCAGATAATATGAAAAAAGTTATTGTAATCCAGCATGGATAATGTACCTCAGAGTATTTTTTTGATTTTTTGTTTTTGGTACTAGGAATCAAACTTTTTTATTTGATTTTTTTTTTTTTTTTTTTTTTTAAATAAAACTCATGGCCTTGTGCTTGCCAGGCAGACACTGTGCCACTGAACTATATCCCCGGCCCCCGTACTTTTGTACCTTGATTTAGTAAAATTATCTTATATATTTTTTGGCCTGTTAGTTTGACTGTTAACTTTACAAGGATTTTTAAGATAAATAAATGAATCTGATGCTTAAAAAAAAGTGGTGGGGGGGTAGAAGGAAAGGAGGGAAGAAAATGAATTGAGATGGCTATGTATATGTACCAGTTCCCCGCAATGACTGTAATCATTATATACTGCAGACATGTACTAATAAAAATAAAATTTAAAAAGATATTTCCACAGGACCTAATAGTAATATTAGACCATCAAGAGTGAATTAAAATAACCAAAAACCCATATACCTAATGACAGCCCCTGATGAAGAAATAGCCCTGTCACCTGATAGCTGCGCCAGGAGCATGCACTTAGCTTAGAAGCAGCTACCAGCACCTAGTACTAAAAGCCTTGCCAACAAGGATACTTTCCAGTTGAACTGCACTTTCTTCCTGGAATTTCAGGTATGCACTGTTCAGGTAATGAAGGGGTTAATAGGTGGAGCTACAGCTAAAAAGACACTGACAGAGGATAACAGTATGGTTCAGCTGAATTCAGGGGAGAGTCAACGAGCATAAGCTGGTTCCCTTTACATATGGGAAGGCTCTCTCTGATTCATGCTTTTCCTGAGGCTGGTCTTGAGGAAATAATACACTGCACTAACAACAGCGTAACTGAAACACCTCAACTATTTGCCAGGATCTCACAGGCAAAATCAAGACTTTATGGTTGACAATAAGGATGATAAAAGAAAGCAGGAAAATTTTAAATGATGAGCATTTCCACATGGGGAAATGCAAGGGATGGTAGAAAAAATATGATGAGATATGGTAAAGTAAGATCTGGACATTTCAAGCCTGCAATGCCTGTAGACTATCCCTGAGACTGAAATCCACACTTCAAAACATGTTACCTAATACATGGTAGTCTAAGCCACACAAACACAGGCGTATCAACAAAGAAGTCAAACTAAGTGCTCTTTTTTTGTTTGTTTGTTTGTTTTTCTGGTACCAGGGATCAAACTCACGACATTGCGCTTGCCAAGCAGATGCTGTGCCACTGAGCTAAATCCCCAGCTCCTTCAAGCGCTCTCTGACAAAGTTGATTGTGTAAAGGCCTTCAATAATGTCTGGATATGTACAATGGGAAACTGGGCTCCCTCTGCTTTCTACTGCATTCTGAAGCTAAGGATCACACCAGGTGAAAATGAGGGTTCAGAAGTCCTACTAGGTCTAAATAAGAAAATAAAGGGACTGAAAATCAGAAACTGGCGCCAGGGTGAGTGAGGGAGGGAGTGAGTGAGTGAGAGAGAGAGAGAGAGAGAGAGAGAGAGAGAGAGAGAGAGAGAGAGTGTGTGTGTGTGTGTGTGTGTGTGTGTGTGTTGCAGCTAAAAATCAGGAGAGCTGGAAATCCATAGCAATCTCAAACCCCATATCAGAGAGACAGTACACACCTATAAATACCCCACTCATTTAATCCCAGCAAGGGGTCTATATCAGGCCGGTTCTGTTTTCCTTTTGCCTTTGATAGACCCCAGAGAAAGAACACAAACTTAGTTTTTGGTTTTGAAGACAAACCCCTCAGCTTTGACATTTTCTAGAGACCTTTGCTACTTGTAAAGTAGCAAGAATCCAAAAGAGGTTGGGAATTAGGGTATACATCTACCTCCCCCACCTCACAAGGTTTGTTTGTCTTTAAATTACCTAGACAAAATAAAAAGTCAAAGTATCCTTGAGGTATTAAAGGTTAAATATGGAATACAAATATAGTTCACTCCAACTGCAAAAGAAACAAAATTACTTTAGGCAATTTAGAAATAGTAACTAAAATGAGGGCTGCCAAGAGGATTTTCATGGAAAGGTGAGGTGTTACTCAGAGTTGTTGAGGGCCAATTTTGTATAACTTTTTGATGACCTAATCCTCAGTTCTTCAGACATCTTGGGTCTTGCTATCTGAATTATCTAATTAAACAAATTTCTCACCTTCCACCTTTCTTTCTTCACCATCTCTATTTCTCTACCTCATTTCCTACATACTGCCAAGCTTTTACCACCCATGACTAAGTCTACCAACATAATTCCTCAATTTCTGTTAAATTCAGGGAACTAGAAAGACAAAATCCTATAGCTCATGAATAGCACATCTAAGATTAAACAAAGTCCTTAAGAGTCCCAAGTCAGCGGCATCCATGTTAAATCACACTGTCTCAAAGGTTCAACTGCAATGAATTTATGGCAGCCTCGTTGGAAAAAATAAAAGTGATCAAATCATGACAACATAAATTACAGAAAGGCAGCTGGAATGAGGAAGGAACAAAAGACAGATGGCAGGGAAAGCAACGTAAGCATTCCAACTACTGTAAGGAGGAACTTACAGCATTTCCAGAAGGCTTTCTGCTAGAACCAGCCTTCACTGAAGACAGCAGGAACAAACACAATCTATTTTCCAGACTGTCCTTTATGCCATCTTTACAGAGAACTAAGCTCCTCTGAATTATTTTCTGTATCACCCTGGTGCAGATTTACACAGCGTATTACTGAAAGTTCTTAGAGACGGGCTAAGTTTTATTTCTTCTTTAAAAAGTTCCTAATTACCATGTTGTAGATACAATTAAGTCATAATATGTCTGAAAACAGAAGGTTGTGTTTTTTTTCAATTTTTTAGAATTTTGAAACAGGGGTAGGCATGCTGGTACATGCCTATTATACTAGCCTTCAGGAGTCTGAGGCAGGAGGATTGTCCCAAGATTGAGGCCAGCCTAGGCTACATAGTGAGTTCAAGGTCAGCCTGAACTAAGTAGTAAGAGACCCTATCTCAAAAAACAAAACAAAAAAATTAAAACAGGGTCTTCAGGCTCAGTCTGGCCTCAAAATTACAATCCTCCTGCCTCAGTCTCCTAAGTAATTGGGGTTACAAGAATATGGCAGCACACTTAGCAATTTTTCACTGTTGGTAATTAATCCAATATAGACAGTATTTTAAAAACTGATGTAGAAAGACAAGTCAATATGAAATGCAACTTCCTGAAATGCAATCTGAAAAGCAAGTCTTAACATACTGAACAACACTTTAAGATAGGATGCCTGTATACTCGTTGTATACTCCCAGGCAAACTTGTCTTCAACTCCTATTAATAGAAAAAAAAAAAAAAAATCGAACCTGCCACCTCCCTACATTTGCCATCATCTGAAAAGTCTGTTAAGAGACTCCAGAAGATATTGTTTCTTACCTCCGTGCAACATAATAAAAAATGGGATTCCCAGCTTTGGAAGTGCCAGCTTGGTAGAAAATACTTAATGTTTTCAAAGCCTTAAACTCTTCTTTTTCATGTACTTGATGTCTAAAAGAAAAAAGAACAGAGCAGATCAGATGCTCTACACAGTTCCCAGAATATACACAAAATCTACAATTGAATCAATAATAAAATATAAAAATGACAAAACATTTAAAAAGCAACAGGCTTTCTCAATGGCCAGTTGGCATGATATATATTACAAATTTCAAGTAAATTTCATGTTACTCTTTGGATCACGCACTTTTAGGACTACCCTAAGACAACTAATGAACAAGAACATTAAATAGAGGAGTGTTTTCACTCGTGGTATTTGGTTCAGAATGAGTGTTTTGAATTTCTAACTTACTTGCTTTTTTCTGAGTTCAATTTATCAGGTTTTTCTTTTCTTTTTTTTTTTTCTTTTTTTTGGGGGCGGGGGGCGTTTTTTTCCGGTACCAGGAACCAAACTCACGACCTTGCGCTTGCCAGGCAGGCACTGTGCTGCTGAGCTAAATCTCCAGTCCCTTATCAAGTTTTTCTTTTCTGGTCTATGGATTTCTGAATGAATCAGAAAGTCTGTTACTCATGTTTTCTTCTTTGATTTATGGGAGCTTACCTTCATGAATAGTATAAAAATCTTTTTCCAGATGTTTACTCAGTTTTTTGCAGGGGAGGGTGACAAGAATCAAATGTTTACTCAGTTTTACCTATTTTCAAAGTCCATCCTGCTGGGTGTGGTGGTGCATACCTGTAATCTAAGCACTTGGACAGAGGCTGAGGCAGCAGGATTGCCACCACACCCAGCTGCTCCTTTTCTTTCTTTCAAGAAAAATGGATCTCAAAGAGCATTTTCGGGAATTTAGAGGAGAAAAATGTCATCTAACATTTATTACTTTATACTTGCACCAGATACTATTCTAGCCAGGCATGGTGGCGCATGCCTGTAATCCTAGCACTCAGGAGGCTGAGGCAGGAGGATCGCTGCAAGTTCGAGGCCAGCCTGGGGTACAAAGTGAGCTCAAGGCCAGCCTGAACTGCATAGTGAGACCCCGTCCAACAGAGAGATTTTCTTAGAAAAATGGAACAGTGGTAAGGATACCCTCAGTAATGTTAAATAAAAAGTTTTATATTTTTGTACTACACAATTTTCAATTAGGTAATTTGAAAGTATTGTGTGGGAAATATTCTCTTTATCATATAGGAGTAAACACTTGTTACACTGAGAAAAATCTAACAGAGCTAAATATAAAATTGAGAAGGAAGTCATATATTCATACATTCTTTTATATATTCATATATTTTTACCAGTTATCAATGAATTAGTCTTGTGTACAAAATTATGACCTATATGTAATATGATTAATAAAAGACACTTGGAATATAAAGTGTGTTACACACAAATCTTTAATGTGAATAAACTTCCAGATATCAGATTCTGGTCCCCTCCCCCAGTCTCTGGTAATACTATTAACAAAACAATACAGCCATTACAGAGCATTTTAAAAAATACTATGAAAATACTTTAAAGAATTTAGTAAACGTCCTTTACTGTAACATTACCAAGGCAAATGTCTAACAATGAGAATCTTTTCATTTACAAACTAAATCCCTCTAAATGAGATTCAAAACAAATATCCATAGAACTATTATGGCAATCCTGAAGTATAGTATACTATATTTTCTGAGTCTTAATCTAAAAGAATTAAAATCATCAACTTTTGGGGGGGTTCTGAAAAATGGTACAGTGTGGCAGAAAATCTAATTTAAGTCCTTTGCACGTAAAAGCAAAAGATACATGAATTAGGAGTAGAATCTTAGGTAAGTAAGTTATTCATATTGAGTTGCATTATCTTTAACTATAATATGAAAATGTTGCCTACAAATCCTTATAGGTATTAAATATAAAACCATAGCAAACCAAGATGATAAATCGTGATTTAATAAAACATAATTGCTTTTCTGAGAAAATTAGTATTTAAAATTAATTATTTCAATAATATATGGGTAGGAGAAAAATCTGATCCTAAACCATGGTAATGTTATTACTAGTTACATCTTTTCTGATAATCTTTAATCAAAAATAAAAGTACATTTAACAAATGGCCTGGAGGTAAACTCTGCTTCTCAACCAAAAAGAAAGCAATCATCACACTGCAAGGTTGTGCTTTTACCTAGTCATAAATTCCTCAAACTTGGAACTGGTAAGGTTAAGGCTTGACCAATGTGTATCTGCCACAGGCTTGTGCTCTGGAGGACCGAGGTATGCAAGAAGTGTTGCCATCTTATCGAAAGGTCGTCTTCCAACAGCTTTATGATCCCTAAATACAGCAAATGACTTAGAAAGAAAGTAGCAATTCACATTTTGAAGTATACAATTCTTTAGATCATGGTTTTCCTTTTACTGATGGTCTCCACAACTTTATAAAAAGCACCACATGACCTCAAGGATTATAAGTATACACTGAAATAGTTTAGAAATATGGCCATTTCCCAAAATATAAAATTTACATTCAATTTAAATTCAGTTTTATTTATTTATTTATTTATTTTTGGTGTTTTTTTTTCCCGGTACCTGGAATTAAACTCACGACCTCGCACTTGCCAGACAGGTGCTGTATCAGTGAACTAAAATCCCCAGCTCCCTAAATTCAGTTTTAAAAATAAAGTTCATAATTCATTACCACCTAATGGTTAGTTAACAAGTGAACAAAAATAATACTCTGATCCTTTTCTGGGAGTAAAAATCCATTTGAGAAACCAGTATTTAGGAAGTGGACATATTTAATGCAAGGAAATTTTAATTTTCAACAACTATTAAACATGTAATAGTATGCAAGAATAATAAAATATTATTTCACAAAGCAAATTTACAAAAATGATTAAATATGATAATGCCAACTTTATTAAGGCTCTGTTTAAAGAAATACTATCACATAATTCTGGTCAAAGAGTATACTGGCATGCATGTTTGAGAAGCAATTTGGCAATATCTACTAAGGTTGAGGCTAAGTATACTCTAGACCCAGCAATTATACAAGCTGGACTCAAACTTGCTATCCTCCTGCCTCACAAAACAAACTAAGTGTATAGTTTGATGATAAAATGCTCACCTAGCAGGGGTGAGGCTCTCAGTTCTATGTCCAGTACTCCCTCAAAGCTTTATATATGTGTGTGTGTGTGTGTGTGTGTGTGTGTGTGTGTGTGTATGTGTGTGAGAAAGTATCACAAATGGGCTTAGTATAGAATTTAAACACTAGCAATTTTTAAATACTAAATTTCCAAGAATTAGCTGTTCTTCAAATTCAAAGGCCAATATTCATTTGATCTTTAGCAAAGTTAAACTTCTCTGTGTTGTAACACATTATGTTTGACAGTTTGTAAACAAGACCTCAAAAAATTTAATTTGTGATTTATTAACTTGACATTAAAAAATCAGTAGCATCTATGTAGGCCTACTAATCATTTAGTATGACTTAATGTTTTGCACATATATTTACTATTCTATTAGTTCAATTTAAACTGAAAGTGTTCAATGACTGAGAAGTCATACCTGTTGCTGGAAAGATACTGGCCAATTTTTTCCTGATTGTTCCAAAGCAGACGATGTAAAGCAAGCACATTGCCATCACTGATGAAGGAAAGACTATGATTTACAGCATCACTTGTGGGACAATCTGATGCTATATCAAGGAAAAACCTTCAAAAATGCAAAGCCATTAGAATTTTCAACACTAGATACATTCAACACTAGATATGTGAGTTAAATTTATACAAAGCATAATGATATAATCTGTGAAGTAACTGAGATCACAAATATGAAGGTTTGTTCACACAACATTACTGCCATTACACCAAGCAAAAAGAACAGTAAGAAACTTGGTTTGCTATTTCTATACCTGACTTTGGCTTCAGAGCAGGCTCTAAAGTTAACGCATTCAGATGACTGAAATTTGGAGGAAAGCTAGAATTCTGCACAAAAAAAAATGGAGGTCCAGAAAAGATAAAAAAAAGACCTCCTCAAAGTTACAGTTTGTCAGTCAGAGCCTGGATCAGAACCTTAGTTTTCTTAACTCTCTGTGGGTAGTCAATCTGCTAGAATGTGAATTAAAAAAAAAAAGTTTACCAAGCATTTCCCTTTTCTTTACTTTTTTTTTTGTGTGTGTATATAGTTGAGACAGGTCTTGGTATGTAGTTTGGACTGGCCTTGAATTTACAGGGATTCTCCTGTCTCAGCATCCCAAGTGCTGGGATTACAAGCATGTGCCACCATGCTTGACTAGCACTTTCTCATAAATTCTCATTTTTTTTCTCTTAAAACAACTTAGGCAAAAGCATTATCCCTACCTTACATATAAACTAACAACTCAGAGAAAGAGTATCACTAGTAATGGAGAGATACCGCAGATACTTTTTATTTTTTATTTGTCTTTTTGAGAAGGGTCTCACTATGCAGTTCAGGCTACCCTTGAGTTCACTTTGTAGCCCAGGCTGGTCTCGAACTCACAATGATCCTCCTGCCTCTGCCTCCCAAGTGCTGGGATTACAGGAGTGTGCCTCCATGCCTGGAGCAGATACTTTTTAAAATGATGAAAGTCTCAGCAGTTGTTCAGGTACTCATACACAAAATCTTATGCATTTACAAAAGAGCAACTTTTTAATTCAGATACAATTCTAAAGGGAAGTCTGGAAAAACACTGTAATACCAAAAAGTTCTGATTATATGCTATTATGTATTTTTGTACCAGTCTGGCTTTTGTTTTTAATAAAAGAAATCTTCTTCTCCAAGTCCTTTATTTCAGTAGATATGCTAAAAGTTCCCTCTTGGTTTACAAATATAGAAACCACCACCAAATTATAAAGAATATGGAGTTATTTCATGGCATCTTTTATACAGTAAGGTCAGACAACATATGTTCTTAACCTAGAGAGGAAAGAGAAAAAACCTCCATAGGAACTTCATGTAGGCCACGTACATGGACTTAAGTGAAATGGAAAGGAATTGAAATAGAGCAACCAAGCATTAAGCTGCTTACCTTCGTGCTGCATCAAAGTTGCTTTTCACAAAATCATTAAAAGGTCGCATATGCTCTTCCTTTGTGAAGAGAACATGATTGGCAATACTCTGAAGTATCTAAGCAATCAAAGAAAGTTATAATTAATCAGCTTATTTACTATGTAAAACCTATACATTAATATATATTTTTTTTCTTTTTTCCAACACCGGGAATTGAACCCAGGGCTTGTTCGTGGTGGGCAAGTACTCTACAACTACATTCCCAGCACCACTCTTGCTTTATTTTGACGTAGGCTCTTGCTGCGATGCCCAGGCTGGCCTTGAATTCACTATCCTTCTGCTTTAGCCTCTAATATGTATTTTAATAAATATGAATTTTATTACTGATATTTCTACTGGCAGTTAAAATCAAGTATTCCTTGTTCTACAAGCTATTCTAGGTATTGTTTCTATTCTTTCCAAATACAAACATAATTATATATACATTTATATGTATAAAATACATTTAAAAATTAAGTATCTTTTTACATTTTAAAAAACCATACAGTTTCTGTCTCCATTTTGCACTCTACAGAATAATTACACAAAAATTCATCTTTGGAAGAGAAGACATTTGTTATAGTTTTTTCCCATGACAGTAACACCTATCAAGTACACATGTAATAAATTCCTTCGTAATATAAACAAAACTTTGTGAAAAGAACATAGTTGAAAATCACAGGGCACTTCAAAAGTAAATTTAAGAGAAAGCATTGTATGAAAAATTAAAACTCTAGCTGGAAGAGAAATTTAAGATATATGGATTATCAAAATAATTCACCTTTGACATTAACTTCAAGCCCCTTTCGATTCTAGGTGGTGGCTTTTTATCTAAAATCCCTGCTTCATATGGTGAGACAATGGCAGGATTAATAAATCTGAGGAACATGGCACTTCCTACTGCACCGATGCTGTTCTGAGGGAAACGCTGGCTAACCACCTAAAAACAAGAAGTTGAGAATTGAGTATACAGTTTGAATTAAAATAAAGAAATGGGAACAAAGAGCCAACTTCACAAAAAAACCCACAAAACTCTGAATCAATCAATCAATCCTCACATTAGTTCCTATTTTCTTCCTTCTCCACAAACATCAGAAAATAAAGTTAACCCTTAACTCTAACTTTGTATCATTTACAATTAAGGTATTTCAGAGAGAAGAAAAACCTCCTAGATGAGTAGTGTAGAAGAGACCTGAAAAAAAATCTTATCATCACTGTTTACTGTGCAAATCTGATGAATAATGAAAGCAGACACTATTTCACATAAAAGTTAACATATTTTACAAAGATTAACCAACAGGAAAGTTTAGTCAACTTTAGTAAGGCAAAAGCTATGTTTTCAACACCATAGCTCTGAGACACCCTATGCCTAATAATAAATATTTTACATTTTGTTGTGCACCAGTTACAACTTAATTTTTTGAGAAAAACTGTTTGCCATATACAAAATAAAATTTTTCCTTAGTTTCCTACCAGGAAAAAAAAAAACCTACTATCAACATTCCTGCCAGTTCCTTTTCTTTGCCAGTATTCTTTCTAATGTAAGGACCTACCAATTACTTTAACCATGAAGGAATGAGAATTCTTGGGGACCTAAGAGAAAGAAAGGTTCCCAACAGACGAGATAACCCCAATGTCTACCTGAATTTATAATTCAAGTAATAAAAATTAAGGAGTCAGGAAACGGTTGCCCATTCTGAAAAGCATCACAAACCCAGTATCTAAAATAGATTTACCTTCTCATGAGACAACATTCTACAGTGAAAAGGTAGTAGGCACATTGTATTGGGAAATATAAAACTGGCTCAGGTCCCATCTTTTCCCAGTTGGCCCCCTTTTTAAAATAAAAATTGCATCATTCCAGAATTTATATTTTTATATATACATGCTTATTTTTAAAGAGCATATATAACATTTTAATCTCTACAACTGTTCTTGCTTGATATGGCTAGCTGCTGTTTAAAACAGTGATGACTCCAACAGTGAAGGTGTCACAGTTCACTTATTAGTACTCTGGGTACTGCAGGGACAGACTTTGTACTTCGAAGTATAGGGGGTTGGGTAAGAAAAATGGGATTTATAAGCACAATCTCACAAAACTACTTTTCTTCATCAGCCCTCAATAAAGTCATGAATTTAGATGGTGCAATGACTCTAGATGAACTCTGGAGTAAACGGCTATTTTACTTCATTCCATCCCATTTAGTCCTTCCTGAAATCCACATTTTGTATGTGTTCTTATCTACTGCCTATAATCTGAAAATAATTTTTATTTTCTCTAATATGAAATTAAAAGTTAAGATTTTTGCAAAATGACTCTTTTTTTTTTTTTTTTTTTTTTTGGTCTTTTTGAGACAGGGTCTTGCTATGCGCAGTTCAGGCTGGCCTTGAGCTCACTTTGCAGCCCAGGCTGGTCTCAAACTCGAAACGATCCTCCTACCTCAGCCTCCCGAGTGCTGGGATTACAGGCATGCACCACCATGCACAGCCCGCAAAACAACTTTTTTAAGCTGAAGAAAATCTTTATAAAGGTGTATAAATCTTTATACACCTGAGGTATAAGTAATATTGACTTCCAATACATATCTTAGGAAGCTTTCTTTGTATTCCAGTCCTGTGCATGCTTATGAATGCATGAAGAGCCACCTTGTATGTAAATAAAAGGAAATTTACATCTGCCTTGGCAGAAAGGCTTTAAAAATGAAATGTTTATTTTTTACTGAAATATAATTTCAAATACAGAAAGAAAGAAATGCATATACCTTTACTATTCCAGCACAGTATTTAACTTTGGGGATTAGGACCCTCTTTTAAATCTCACAAAAAAATTAGAAAAAGAATGTATGCATTCACACAAACAAAAGTCATCAGGTAATTTCAGCATGTTCCTGGATAATCACTGATACTGAGAACTTCTTTTAGAAATCCCAAATTTTAATCTTAAATAAGATACTGATAAACCTGTAAGATGTGAAAGTTTTCTGCGAAATGATTCAGCAAGAGGGTTTTTTTTGGGTGTGTGTCTGGTGTTTTTGGTATTCAAGATCAAACTTCGGGTCTTATACATGTTAAACACATACTCTACAACTGAGCTGCACCCCAGCTTCAAAACTGCTCATATTTAATTTTAAGTTGTTTAAAAATAATTAGCAATCTACTCAATTTAACCCATTAAAATACTGGAAGTTTCTTTTTCTTTCATGTTTATTCAACTATGTATTTTGTAATCTTTTAGTGTTACGATATTTAATGACATCTGTCAAAATACTGGCAGTTTCTAGAAAGCAAAAAGCTATAGCTTCATTTCCAAAGAGCTGTTTGATAAACATTAACAAAGCTTTGAAAATGTCTCATAAAAAATCAGTAGAATATATGCATATAAGGAGCTCTTTGAAAATATAATTTTTGAAGCTGGATGTGGTGGCACATACCTGTAACTCCAACACTCTGGGAGACTGAGGCAGAAGGACTGCAAGTTCAAACCTAGCCTGGGCAATTCAGCAACTTGGTTAAACCCTGTTTCAAAACTAAACCAACCAACAAACAAATAAACGGGCTGGGAATGCCAAAGCAGTGCAAATGACGTAGGTTTAATCCCCAGTACCCTCTTCCCCAATAAACACTTCATACTTTTTTTTTTCCATACTAGGGACTGAACTCAGGGACTTATGTAGGCCAGGCAAGTGCTCTACCAGTGAGCTAATCCCTAGCCCCTCACACACACACACACAAATAAAAGTAGCTATTTAATGGGTTTCTCTGTGATAAAGACCTTTTAATGTGTGAATTATACTGATGTCTGATTTATATTTACTATTTATATAACTCTACCTCAGAATTTCAGGGAAGTCTGAATTCTTTTCCAAACATAGTGAAGTTTCAAAAAGTACACTTCACCATCTTCCACATCTCCAAAAATAACTCATGTCAAAAACCTAAAGTATCCTTATCTCAGAAACATACACTGTTTCACATAAATATGTACCTCACTGATGGCATCAATATAGTTTAGAACGCCACATAAAACACAGTATTAACAGGAATGCTGTAAAAAGGCTTCCTGAATCAATTTATAAAACAACTGTTTTTTGTTTCTTTCTTTCACCATTAATTAACCAGTGTAATTTTACCTCAGGTTTTTGGGCTAGGGGTACTAGGGATTGAACCCACAAAGCTTTATTTATTTAAAATTTTGAGACAGGGTATAAGTTACCCAGGCTGGCTCTGAACTTCCAATCTTACCTTAGCTTCTCAAGTAGGTGGGATTACTGGTGTGCAGCACTGCACCCATTTTTTTTTTAATGTGTAAAAATCTAATTTAGATCCAAAAGACTTCTAAGGCCAACATAAGGCTAGTCTATATGTTAAAGCCAATTATCAGCCAATGCTCCCTTTACTTCCTTTGGTGAAAGCAAAACTACATAATACATAAATCCAGTTATAAAATGCACATCAGCAAGAAGATCACTATCTATATAGATGATTAATTACAGAAAATTCTTCCTCAGTTAGGCAACTTCTAAAATAAATGTAATTATGCATTATGTTTGAGTATAATAAACAGAGTTATCTGTACTGTGGCTGCACAGCTAGATACCAGAAGCTGAAATCTTGTCTCTATTTTATATGTTCTAGTCCACGATATATACACGACATAAAGTAAGATGGCTTGCTTTCAAAGATTAGATTCTGTTAAGCAAACAACTCCAAAAAATCACATTTTAAATTTATAACATAATGACTATACTATCTTATCCTTTGATATGTTCTCTAAAAATCTCAAACTACCAATTAGATTCCCCTTATGGCCAGGAGGATCACATGTCACCCGTGCTGAGAAATACATTCCAAAACTTACTGTTACCCAGTAACTTTTTAAAAAATCTGAAAATAACTCTATTAGGGGAAAAAAAACATTTCAAGGAACAATGTTAGACAAAAATCTTAGTAAATAAAGCAGTGTTAGAAAGGCCAGAAAACATGCTCTAGAGAAACAAAGAAAACCTAATTTTTAATTTATGTGATACACTACATCACAGCATTAGTGTAACAGTTAATAAGAATGTTAAAGCAGTAAATTAATTTCAACAGTAATGGTGTACATTATGGTAAGCCCACATGAGAATTAGAAGGAAATTTTTTACTCATCAAGAAGGCCATCCATTTATTTCCATACAGCTTACCAAATTTATTTTACTTAAAAAGAAAATCTTGAACAGACACAATAAAAGTGTCTCTAAATTTTAACTTAGCCCTGAATTTAAAATATAAATTTGTATGTAAAGCTTAAATAAAGGAAAAATAAAACCAGATGAACATCACATTTCAAATTATTCCTTTTTAAGAAAACTGACTTCTAAAAATTATCTTACATCTTTCTCTACAATCATTTGGGTTATAGGAAAAGACAGGACTCATCATGATAAGGTTAAGTCACACTGACAGATAATGGCAAATTTAAAATGAATGCAAGCTAAGTTGCTAGATAAATTCCATTCACTGGGAAAAAAATTATGAGTATCATAATTTTTTTCCTTTTAAACTAGGGCAAATTCATAGAAATAGGCAGTATGTTTGTATCATGTTTGCAAAATGAAGAGTTTCTCTAATATATGGGTTCACTGAGTGTTCATCTCAATCATACTGATTTCCACTGAGGTAAAGTTATTCTAATGTTTTGTCATTAGAATTTCTATCATTGAAGCACAAACCTCTAAATTCCAGCTGGGACTGTCTACATAAAAATGCAAGGAATAAAAAATAAAATTTAGCAGCTTTTAGATTAAATTTAGAAAGTGATACTTTCTGGTAGAGTGCATGCCAAGCATGCACAAGGCCCTGGGTTGAATCCCCAGCACTGTGGTGGGGGTGGAGGATAGAAAGTGATACTTTCCTACCAAATATTTCTAAAAATTAAGAAAATCTTTCCATAGGAAAAGAAACAATTCACATGACCTGCAAACAAGAAGCCAGAATGAAGACAGTAAGCCATTTCCTAAGGCCTTGAAATTAAGTTCCTTTGCATTCATTTATAATTTTTAAAATGACATTAAAATTAGACCAAGGATATCCAATGTAACAAATGCCCACAATATGCCTTTGGGATAAATCAAACCAAAGGAACACAGAGAATGTTTCAATGTAACTTAATTCCAGGGTTAATTGAAATGAGAGCTATTTTGTGCCAGAATTAGTAGAATGATTTTACAGTGAAGGTCAAATAGACTGAAGTGAAGATATTTTTAACAAACAGCAAAAGATTTTTTGGGTTGCTTTGAAAGAAACAGCTAATAAAAAGTTCTCCAAACTTACTGATTTTTTGTTTTCCTTTTTTTCTTTTACTGTAGCTTTATTCAGTAGGGAGTGGCAAGTTGCCTACAGAACAGAGATGAGCACAAACAAGTCACAGCACCGACTACATACAGCAACAAAAACAATGTTGGCTTGTACATAAAATTACACGATAAAATGTAACACAAATGGAATCAACAAAAAAATTAGAAATCAACTGAATTTTGTGGGATGAATTTTAATTCTGGATTTTAATTTTTATTACATTTTTAAAGCCAAGCACTAAATAAATAGCAAGAAATGTTAAGACTCAATCATGTCTACTATTTCTGGCTATGAATCACAGTAAAATTATCCCCAAGTAAATTTGCAGATATGGAATTTACAGTTTAATTCCTGGCTTCTGATAAATTTTATACAAAATGTTCATGACAAGTAGATCACACACTAAAAAGATGTCTTTGTGTCTACATCATTTTTTTTGATTAAAAAATATTTTTAAAATATTTCTCTGTGTATCCTTCAATTGACTTAGTTATATTTCCAGTATTAAGATCATACCGACTAAATAAAAATTAAACATAATGTAAAAATTCATTTTAGATATTCTGAATTAGAAGTCACTCTAAAAGAGATTACTGTTAAGATTTCAGGTATTTTTAAACGTTTGCAGGCTGCTTCCTGCAATAGTTTTAATCAGAGGATGTTAAAAGCTCTGTAATGTTTGGGAGGAAAATGTTATCAGCTCAACTAGAAAAAAGCATTAATATTAAAGTTAAGACACTCAAGAGATAATTATAGAATGAATCTGTAAGCCTGCTTAAAACTTTTTACTTATTACAGCTGAGCATTTATCAGAGCCCGACCTCCCCCCGCAACCCCTGCCCCAGGCACTCATCAAAACCCACAAAGACCTACTGGTTTATCTCAGCACTCCTTCTAAGCTGAAGAGTTCTTTCAAAATGAAAAGACTCCTAACCGAACTACAGTAGGCAGAATACTTACTTTTAAAATATTTTTAAACCAACAATTCTTTACTCCATCACATATTACATCTTATTCTAGGAATTCTAATCATACAACACCATAGCCTTTAACAACTTGAGCTTAAAGTTTGTTTGACATTCACCCATCCATCCATACATACATCCATTCAAGTGATTCCTGAATACCTACATGACAGATACTTTTTTCTTTTTTGCATCAAGAATTGAACTCAGGACCTTCTGCTTGCCAGGCAGGCACTGTCCTACTCAGCTATATCTCCGCCCCCTCAGATACCATTCTAACTACTGGAAGCAACAGTAGAACAAGAAGAGTCCTCTTATCTCTGTGGAACTTAGATTCAAACTTTAGAAACAAAAATACTAGTAACTATGTAAAAATTCACTTTTATATATTTTTAATGATGATATACCTATCATCACTTATAGCCTTAAATAATTTTGTATAAACTACTTAGGTTGGAGAAGCAGATTACTGCAAAACATGACATTTACTTAGAACTGTAACAGCTTGGTCTCAGAATCTGCTCACAATAACATAAAAAGAATATCCATTTTGGAAATTAATTTCTCTTTAAACCGTCAGGAGGAAAAGTGAAAACACACGAGAAAAATGACTCAAATTATAAATAAGACACGTTTACAATTTACCTCCTATATAAATTTAAACCAGTCCACTAAGTAAAGAGGGCGTGCAAGGCAATAGAGCTGACTAAACATGATACATACAAAACTCAAAGCCCGAAAAAGAAACTCAAGTAAAAAGAGCTAATGCTCAGTTTATTAGCTAGCAACATACTCACTTAGCTTTCAAAATTTCCCCAGTACAGTCCAAAAGCAGAAGCCATGTTTACTAAAGGAAATAAAAAGCAACTACCACCCTTCCCAGCAGAATATAAAAGTACAAAAGTACCATTATGTTACTGCCAGAGTCGGAAGGGCAAGAAAAAAGTGAAAGAGGAAAGATAAATAAAAACAAGAGAGCAGGCCAAAAGAAAAAACTAGCTGTGGAGGGAGACTTATACAAATACACTGAGATCACACATACACTGAGATCACAACTTATTTTTTCTGTCTTTATTTCTAATGAGTGAATGTAAAACTCTCAGTCATCAATCACATACTAACAAACAAACCCTTATTTATACCTCTGCTCTATGTGACTCTGCTTTCCAACAATGTTAAACTTCCCCGATACTTTAAAATCATGCACTGACACAACTTAAATAATGTTTTAAAGAATAACTTTATGGAAAATGTAATGCAATTCACCTGCATGAAGGTAATGTAGGTTAGTTCATTATGAAGTGCTCTAAAAAGCATAACACAGAGTGTTTGGTAAGCTACCAGTCATCACTTGGCTCTGTTTTCACTACTGCATTTCCTTCCTTTCCTAACCATGAAAGCTGACAAGAATCTTGTTCACATAAGAAGGAATGGAGAAATTTATTCCTTCATTAAATATTTCCTAAATACTTAATAAATATCATGGTATCCTTTTAAATTATCAATAACAGAGTTTCAAACTAGTGTCCATGCTTCTGATGATATAAAAGTATTTTTCAGTTAGGATAATAACCACATGGAGAATTTCTCCTAAAATCTACTAGAACCATGTAATCATGTCACCAGGCTCCTTTAACTTTTAACCAGCTGAAGCAAAGCCACTGCCATTTAGAAACTGATTTGCTCTCTGAAAACAGTTAATACTATGTAGGCCAACCAAGAAGCTGACCCAAGCTGTTTTTAATATGTGCTCACTTTTTCTTGTCTGCCTTACTTTACAAACAGAGAATCAGTGAATTAGCTTTAAAAAGAAATCTAAATAAGGTCTAAGTTTAAGAGACAATATTCACTGTACTATGATTCACATTAGAACTAACCATCCTCTAAGTTCAGATTTAACTAGCTGAATAAATTGTGTGGGGTTTACCTAAGCTTCCTTGAGCTTTCTAAAAAGGTAATAAAATCACAATAAAGTAAGACAGACTTAAAGCTAAATATGCTTTACCATCCCTGAATACTGTAAAAACTTTTCTTTTTATAGATATAGCAGATACGTCTTTAAAAATAGTGGGAAAATTTCCTCACAGAGCAGCCTCCAACTGCTTTTTAAAATGGTGATTCTACTGAAGCTGTTAATGTCTCTAAGCAACTGAAGCTGTGGGCTAAAAAACAAATGGCTGGGGATGACTCTGCAAAAAGAGAGAGACAAAGGCATGGACTCTGGTAAATATGTAAGCTTCTTCCCTAGCCCCGCCCCCAAACTCCAGAGGCAACAACGTATCTTCCTTCTCAGAAGGCTAATGTGGATTTGCACAACCTCTCTCTTAATAAATAAATCATTCCTATAACTGCAAATGCAACTTAAAAACAGGAGAAACCATAAAGGAGTAAAGACCAAATTCCCTCAACAAGAAGAGAATGACTGGACCTCTGAACTCAGAAGCATTACTTTCAGTGTGTGAGATAAGAAAGTCTAAAGATTTGGTATGAATGATGATGGAATACATCTTATATGACAGAATAATATATAAAGTAAACAAAATAATCAGTCTCCTGGGAAAACATGATACAAGCCAATTATATCAAAGAAAAAAACATTACAGAACAAATAATTCATGATGCAAAAAGTGAAGGACCTGCCTCTAGTTTAGGCAAAAGATAACAAAAACAAAACTCCATTATGTACCTAATTTCAGCCATATTCATCACATTCAATGGATTCAGTAAATTTAAATATGCTTCCAGTGCAAGAAAAATGTAATATTTTAAAGTAATCTCTTAAAATACTTCAAAAATGTCCAGAGAAAAATTGGAGTTTCTTTCAAAGCCAATGCCAACAATAATGTATTATTCACCCAATTGATTCAGTATTACAGTAAATATCCAAGGTCAGCAGCTAACTCTTTAGTCAAGCATTTTTCTAAATTCAGCTTTGGAATAATAATGGCAATCTCTAACTTTAAGCATACCTGATATAAACAGTGGCACACACTTCGAAGCTGAGGAGGGAACTCTGAGGAGGAACTGATAATGGCATGGAAGAACTTTTCAGTCATCTGAAGGAGGTTCCGCTGGTTTTCCTCAAGACTCTCTGATGGTTCTAACCTACAAAAAAAGGGAAAAGTTTAAAAGAAACTGAATCACTCCTTAAAAGGGACTCTTTAAAAGATATTCAGCCAGATGCGATGTGTGGACTTTTGATCCTGATTTGAATGAACAATAAACTTGTAAAAAAGGCAATATTGAAACAACCAAAAAATTTAACGAAATATTTTAAAGAATGAAGATGTATCACGTACCTGTACCAACTTCCCATGAGGAATGTAATCATTATGTACTACCAACATTTACCAATTAAAAAAAACACACATACTGCCTCAGTGAAACTGATTCATGAACCACTCTTGAGCAGTTAATTTTTCAGAGCATAGACACAACTTTCTATGAAACCTTTATGTCCCAAAATAAGCTGCCACTTACTTTTTGATGTGATAACTCTGTGAGAGCACTGTTTAAAATGCCAAGAAAGGCCTGGGGATTTAGCTCAGTGGCACAAGTGTCTGCCTGGCAAGCACAAGGTCCTGAGTTCGATCCCCAGTACCACAAATAAATAAATAAATAAATAAAAAGCGCCAAGAAATTCAAATTTATTTTATTATGGTCTGATAATTTCTAATAAACATGAATACCATGAAGAAAAACATTAGGGGTTATTTTTTATTTTGGGGTAGTGTAGAAACATTGGGGCTGTGTACATGTGTTTAAAGTATGTACCTGTTGGAAACATTATTTCTGGGATTTGCTTTAAAACACCTGAACAAAGGGGGCATGGGTGGAAGAGACAGCTAAAACAGCATGGCAGGTATTTTCCAGTTCACTCTCCTCCATATGTATAAGCATATATGAAAAAATTCAACACATATATATGGTGATACAAGCTTTAAAAATCTTCATTAACACTAATAAAATACAACAGTCATCTTTCCTTCTATATTTTGTTTCTAATATTTATCCACATACATGAAGATTTTGTGCATTCACTTTACTGCATGATACTGCAATTGCATACCATGTTTTTGTTAAGTGCTTTGCTGGTTGGTTTTGTGGTACTATCAAACCTACGGCTTCACGATAGGCGAGCATTCTGCCACTATACCTCTGGCCCTGCATACTAGGATTTCCTTTTTTAAAACATTAAAATTTTTTCACTTTTACAGACACCACTGCAATGAATACTCTTGTATGTTATGTAAGAGTTGCTCTATGGCAACTAAAAATGAGTAATGGAGCATATGAAAATGTAAATATAGGGGCTGGGGATTTAGCTCAGCGGCAAAAGCGCCTGCCTGGCAAGCGCAAGGTCATGAGTTCGGTTCCGGGTACCGGAGAAAAACCAAAAAAAAAAAAAAAAAAAAAAGAAAATGTAAATATATTATGTATTAATAACTCTACAACCAGCAATATGTAAGAATATTTATTCTACTGCATTCTCACAGTGTACAGGTTGAGTATCTTTTATTTGAAATGCTTTGGACCAGAAGTGTTTTGGGTTTTTTCTGATTTGGGAGTATTTCCATATACTGCATATACTGTACCAGTAGGCATTCCTAACCCAAAAATCTGCAATGCTACAAAATCTGAGAATTTTTGAGGATCATGGTGATCAAAGCATTTCAGATTCTGAAGCATTTCAAATTTTTGGATTAGGGATGCTCAACCTGTGCCAGCCTACTAGGTAGCAAAAGCTGTCTCATATTTTTAGCCTTTATGTCTATGAATTCTAGTAAGGTTAGACACACACACACACACACTCAGGTTTCCCTATTCAGAGATGCCTTTCATATCCAATCTGACTTATTTAAGTATTAGCTGTCCCTCCCAGTGGGACCTAAAACCCAGTATGCCTGAAACTAATTGATTTTTTCTCTTATTTTTGTCCTACCTTGTGCTCTCCTCATAATGCCAATGGGGCCATCATTGTCTTAATTACACCATTCAAACTGGTGTCACTTTTTCCTGCTTTACTTCATTATCCACAAGCAAACACTGCTGCTGATTCTTACCAATATGACATACAGACTTGGTGTTGTGATTAAAGCTATAGATTCCAAAGGCAGAACGCTCAACCTCTCTGAGCCTTAGTTTTTCTCATCGGTAAGATAGGAATATAGTATTTACTTTATGGTTTTAAATTTTATGCAGTGGCTACCAAACCTATAAAGCTTTAGTTCCTGTCTGGCCCAATTCAAACTCTCAAAACACTTTCCTTATAAAACTCACTAATTATACATGTATCTGTTATGTCTTGTCACTGGGCTAAAGTAAGTTCCTTGAAGGAAGTGTTCATCTTTGTCATCTTGAAGACTAGCACCAATGTGTGGGACAAAAGACTTGCTGCAGATCCTGAAGTCCAGGCTTCAGCAGGTCAGTGGTCTCCATGGCAATGTACAAGTTGACCTCAGGGGCAAAGATGAGTACATTAGTGGAAAAGACAAATATGGAAACAAATACTTGAGGACAACAAGCAGTGTTTTGGCCAAAACCAATGGGCTATCTACACTACAATAATGAGTGGCAAAAATTCATTCTGGGATGTGTTGAGTCCTCATAGGTCTCTATTTCCTGAGATACAACAATACTGAAATCAAGCAAGTTAATAACCCTACAATGGCCTCTAAGGGTTAAAATGAAAAGTGATACCTCTCACTTTAAATCAAAAGCTCCACATGATTAAACTTAGAATGACGTATCTGGCTGAAATGGACTGGAAGCTAGGTATCTTGGGCCAATGAGCCAAATTGTGAACACAAAAAAATTTAAACATTCTATTCCAGTGAACATATGAAGAGTGGGAAAAAAAAAGTGAAAAAGCCTTGATACGGAGAAAGTTTGAACAGAACATAAAATCTACCACAATATTCTCTTGTGCCAAAGCCTAATCCAGAGAAAGACCCTTATTCTCTTTAATTCTATAAAGGTGCAGAGAGGTAAGAAAGCTGCAGAAGCAAAGTCTGAAGGTAGCCAGGTATGGTGGCATACTTGGGAGGCTGAGGCAGGAGGACTGCTATGAGTTCGAGGCCAACCTGGGCTATGTAGTGAAGTCAAGGCCAGCCTGAACTACACAGCAAGACCCTGTCTCAAAAAAACAAGTCTGAAGGTGCTGGTTCACGGGGTTTAAAAAAAGAAGCGATGTCTGTAATATAAAATGCAAGGTGAAGCAGCAAATGTTAATAGAGAAGCTGCAGCAGCAAGTTATCTGGAAGACCTAGCTCAAGTAATGCTAAAAGCGGCTGTATGAAACAATGCACTCTCACACCCCTATCCCAACCCCATGCTTGTTTACTGTTCCTGGGGCCCTCAAGACTTATATTAAAATCTACTCTATGATCTATCTATACATGGAACAAGAAAGCCTGACAGTGTATCTGTTTATAACATGGTTTACCGAATATTTTAAGCCCACTGTTGAGACTCCTGCTGCTCAGAAAAAAGATTCCTTTCAAAGTATTACTGCTCACTGATAATACCCCTGCTCACCTAAGAGCTCTGATTGAGATGTTCAGTGACAACATTTTTTTTGTTTGTTTTGTTTTGTTTTTCTTCTGGTACTGGGACTCGAACTCATGACCTTGCGCTTGCCAGGCAGGTGCTGTGCCATTGAGCTAAATCCCCAGCCCCGACAACATTTTTTGTTATGCCAGCTAACACAATAGGCCTGCTTCAGTCCTTGGATCAAAGAATACTTTTGACTTTCAGGGTTCGTTTTGTTTTGTCTTTTTTAGCAGGGTTTCCCTATGCAGTTCAGGCTGGCCCTGAACTCACTTTGTAGCCCAGGCTGGCCTTCAACTCACAGCAATCCTTCTGCCTCAGCCTTCCAAGTGCTGGGATTACAGATGTGCACCACCACACTTGGCTCAGGTTTTATTATTTAAGAAATATACTATATTTTGAAAGGCTCTAAGCTACCATAGGTTGTGATTCCTCTGATAGATCTAAGTAAACTGAAAACCTTCCAGAAAGAATAAGCTATTCAGAACACTTGTGATTAATGGGAGGAGGTCCAAATATCAACAATAGGAGATTGGGACGAAGTTGACTCTATCCCTAGTGAATGACTTTGTAGGCTTTCAGACTTCACTGGAAGAAGTACTGATGATGTGGTAGTAACAGCAAGAGATTAAGAATTAGTACAGCTGAAAATGTGACTGAATTACTGCACTCTCATGATAAAACTTTGTATGTTTTATTAGTACATATTAGTTATACAGAATGGTTTCATTTCTGGCATACTTTCACAAGTAGTTAACACACTTTGATCGTCTCCCCCATTAGCCCTCTTCCCCTGTCCTCAACCCACTTCCTATTTTCTAATAATCTCTCTTATATCATGATAAAGACTTCAGAAGCATGAGCAGTTGTGTGCAGTGGCACATGCCTGTAATCACAGCTACTTAGGAGGCTGAGGTGTGAAGTTTGTGAGTTTGAGGTCAGCATGGGCAGCAAGGTGAGATCCCAGACTCATTAAAACAAAAACAAAAACTTTAATGGATGAGGGGTTGCTTCTAACGGGTGAGATGGAAACCACTCCTGGTAGAGATGCTATGAACATGGTTGAAATCGAAACAAATGAAATTACATCAACTTTTAACAAAAGCAGTAGGAGGGTTTGAGAGAAGCAACTCCATTTTTCCCCCCTGAGACAGTGTATCAACTATGTAGTCCAAGTCAGCCTCAAACTTGTATCCTATTGCTTCAGCCTCCTAAGCAATGGGATTATTAACCCCAATTTTATTTTATATTTTTAGGTCTGGGATCCATAATGCCAGGGCCTGCATCACAGCCCATCTTTTTTTTTTTTGGTACCAGGAATCAAACTCATGACCTTGAGTTTGCCAGGCAGGTGCTCTGCCACTGAGCTATATAACCCCAGCCACTTGCCTTTTTTTTTTTTTTAATGGAAAAAATGTAAAAGAAAATTTCAAAACAAGATAGGAGAATAACAATAGTTAATACATTGTACATTATAGTTATTCTGAGTCCAAGATATGGACATTAAAATTTCTCTAATTGATATTAGCACAAATCTTCCTTCTCAATGAGCTAAG